CTGGATCAATCGGTTTTAATGGCTCTTAAGGGTTGCTTCTGGTCATGTACCTAGAAAAACAATTAACTAAAATTAAGGAAAGTAAAAAGTAAAGCTAATTAAAAAGAAAATATGAACAAGTAAAATAAGAATGCTATGACAAATCAATTTAACTTCCAGTTGCCAAAGTTCCCCGGCAACGGCGCCAAAAACTTGTCCACTCTTTGTGAGTACTAAAATATGATGCGGATATGTATGCAAGTATACACAATCGAACAAGTAATAAAGTGATAAGTCGAGTATCGTCTCCACAGGGAATTGGGGAAATCAAATAGGTTTGTCAAGGCACTTTACTTTGTCACCTAAGTAAAGTTAGTGATGGTATGTACAAATGAGAATGATGTGGCAAAATGGAATAGCTGATGTGGAAACGGAATGATGGTAGAGTGATGGTAAATGAAAATACTGTGGCAAATTAAATTGTAATACGTGCAAGCAAATGGAAATATCAAGACAAAATAAAATGTAAATATACAATTTAATAAATAAAGGACTTTAGTTTTCTCAAATGGCAAGCAGCAATGGGAATGAGTGGAATGAGTCACAAGGAAAATCTAAGTCTATGTCTCTGAATGGTGTTTCTTCTAAGCTTACCCTGCCCGACAGAGTCTATTGAAATGTCCTATACTATCTCTAGTAAGGGACTCGACAGATTAAAGATGCCCTAGCAAAACCGATTGGCGTAAGCCCTTGCAGTGACCCTATTGGTTCAGTTAATAAGATATATCTCAGCAATACCTTTTTGCGGCAGCATTAACATCTCACCTATCGTTTATACACAACTCCTTTTAGTCGAATAACATCCTATCCTTATCTCTAAAGTAGATTAGGCCTAGTTACTATCTAGAACCCCTTGTTTGTGTAGTTCCTCCCTAACTTCTCTCAAAGACTAAAGATATTTTGCCAAGGCATTCTCTCAAACCCTAAGCACCTTCTAAGGAAAGGTTACTCTCGTAGCTCCTACAACCTTAAAGCATTAAGCCTCACAAACAAAACATAATAAAGCATAAAACAACAACCATTAATTAAAATAAAAACTTAAACATCCAAGTGAACTCCCACCAAATAGGATTAGTTCATGGTGGGGTTCGAAATCAACAAGCACAAAGCAAGATTCATTCGTTCCTTACAACCCAACAATAAAATATAAAAGCAAAGGACTAAAGGGAAGAGAGAAAGCCTTCGACGTGCACTGCCCAATGCTTCCCTCGGCCACCAAGATCTGTTCCTAACGAACTGGCTCCTCTCGGATGCTCAGAACGCCACTCCCTTCGGCTTGTCAAGGAGAAATGCCAGGGCAAGTGGGATTGACGGAGAAAGATGAAACCTTCTCTCTCTAACTTTTTAAGCTCAAAACAGTGGGGAACTAAAGTCCTCTTCATTGTGGCTTCATCCTCTATTTATAGGGGGAAACAAATCCTAGGACTTGGTGTTAACTATCCTAGGAAACCCCAAAACCATGGTTGATTTGCTTGGAAGTCGAGCAGGACAGTCTATGATGCAGCCTGGGTAGTTGGCTGATGGACCGACAAAATCCCGCTGCAGGCGCCCAAGGACAGGCAGGATCTGCAGGGTTATGTGGTATCATCAGCAGAACCGACGGGCAGAGCGCCGATCCCTCGAGGCGAATCTTCGAGGTGGATTTCTCAGGCAGAGCTCTCGAGGAGTCGGATATAGCTGGCTTCAAAAATATCTTCTCGCACTTAAAGCGCTTTCGAAATGCCAGTAGAACTTGGCAATTGCATTATGCTCAACAATCTTCTTATGTCATGGCATTTCCTTTCCACTTTTCCCTTGCTTTCAATTCCTGCACAACATTAGACAAACACCTTCCCCATAAGGTAGCACTGATGACAAACTAAAATGTCGCGGCAAACCGATTTCCACCACATGCAACTAAATGCTTCTAAATGCATCTACCTAGTTCTACATGAGCTCTTAAACATTCAATAGCTTAAGTGAAAAGGTCCCAAAATGTTACCTTTTTATAGAGTTACCTTTTTATAGAGTTATCAGGATCCTTGGATTTTTCTCCACCAGTAGCCACACGAATGCACAAATGATATCGGAGTCTAAATGTTTATGGTCTTGTGTGAAGGAGATGAGCGTACAACCTTGTAACTTCCCACAACATCTTTCGTTGTAGGTATGAGACATGTATCATCCACATACAGTCGATGTTGTTGTTAATATATCTCACAAAATATGTCTTCTGGTCAAACTCCACAACAGCGAATTCCATATGAGCTTTGATACAAAACTCCTTCATAACAAGTTGTGTATCCTTCTTACTTTAAAACTGTGACCCAACTCCAAACTCCGTCGATCCTTTATCTGAGGTCCCCTAGTGGGTTTCGCATATATCGAACATATCATGAATCTGAGGATTCCTCGTGGAATCATAGTTTATCTCATGTATTGTAACTGCATGACGATATTGATGCATCTAGAGATGCGAACTTTATGTTTGCATGGCTATTGATGGATGTGCCCAAACTGGCGGAGTATTCTACATTGCTTGGCCACGAGAAACGGATGCCTCCCAAATATCACCCTCCATATCAAAAGTTTATCCAACTGAAGCAACCTCGGATATCAGATTCATTAATTATTGATGTTTCATCGTCCATCATAAGTGGAAGAAAAGTTTCATAATCCTCATTAAAATCACCAAGGATTTCACCGAATCTCCCGACGAGGTTATCTACATCCTCTGATGGCCATGCTTCTATGATCACTGGTGCAATAGTTGATGAAGTAGGAATATATGCAGTTTCAACAATAATTTCAATTATTTGATTATTGGAAGATTGATGAAGGCTAACCATAACAGTTACATCATCGTCGTCTTCGATCAGGATTGCTCTATATCTGAACTAAGTCTCTGAAATAATGTGTCAATATCTCAAACTTGAAACATAACCTCTAATTTTTTTCGATTTTCATCTTCATTTGTCGATGAGATACATCTACCGGAAACATCATGTTCACGGGCCTTCGTGACATGAACTGAACACCATCTTCAGTTTCAACAACTTGGCCATTTGGGTGGATGACTGTGAAAAACTTATTCGCCATAGCTTCAGAGAGAGATTGATTTTTGCTTGTTCAATACAATTGTAAAAAATAACAAGTTTTGTGAAGATTCATCTGAAGTGAGTCAATTTAAAACAAATACGACCAATCATTAATTACCATTCAACAATTCTCGAGTGAAATGTCATCTCAGTAGGCCAAATAATAGTGGTGCATTATCATCTTCTGTAATTTTTCAGAGGTCATTCAATGCATAATTTAAACAATTTTTCAGAAAAAAAAAAGTGAAATTGTGGTGCATCATCATCTTCTGTAACTTTTTCAGAGGTCATTCAATGCATAATTTAAACAACTTTTCAGAAAACGAATGAAATAGTGGCGCATTATCATTTTCTGCAACTTTTTAGATGTCATTTAATGCATAATTTAAACAACTTTTCAGAAAACGGGTAAAATAGTAGTGCATTATCATCTTCTGCAACTTTTCAGATGTCATTCAATGCATAATTTAAATAACATTTCAGACAATGAGTGAAATAGTGGCATCGTATCATCTTCAGAAACTTTTCAGTGATGTATCAACTCAAATCATAAAACATTTTTGTGGTGCATTTATCACTTCATATAAAAAAACAAGTTTCTCACAGGCCAAATAATTACCCATTTCACTAACTTTTCAATGCTCATTTAATTATCTTCAGCAACTATTAATATGTGTGAATTGAAAGCCATTTTACTCTACTATTGAAGCAAAACAAAAAAAAACACATTCAATCTTTCACTTCCAAAGCTTGAGATTTTTCAAACATGTCAACTATTTGTGTAAATTTTTTTTACGATTGCAAATCTATAACCATGTGTTTCCCAAAAAAAAATTCAACTACACGAGTTGAAGTTCAATATAGAAACAAGAGTTCTACTCAGAAGCAATATAAGAGTATCTTCCTTATATTTTAGAATTCCACTATCATACACGAGGTTTCATATATGCAATGATGTAGACATTGTTGGAATGATTGAGACATATTAATATCAATCTTTCTCTAATGTCGATTTATTTGTAGAGTTCGATGATCTCGGCCTTGTTCGTATCATCGAAGATGTTGCTTCCAGCTCGAATATCCCACCAACTCAGAAAAATGACCAAGAAAAATATATAGATGATGGAGACCTAGAAGCATGATTCCAATTCGTACATAAACGACAACAATAAAAAGAATGGGGAATTGAAGAAATTAATCTTACCTCTGACGAGTCTACTGATTACGAAGAATAAAACTTCTTAATCAATACTGCTATGTTAATGATTTTATTTAATGTTTATGGTGTCCGTAAGGTTAGTCCTACTTACGTATTTATGTTAATGTTTTAAGTTTGTAGTTTTTTTCTTCCTAATGTGCATTTCTGAGAGTCTAATCTAATGTCCATAGTTTGTTATTCTTTTCAACATATATACCTCATTTCAGAGAGCAAAAAAAAATCTAAGAAAACTTATCACCTCGACGTGATGAGTTCCAATGTATTTTTTTCTTCCCAACATTAAATTCGTATAATAATCTAAAAAATAATAATAATTTTCTAATAGAACTCATCACCTTTCCACATGAAATATTAAAATATTGGGCCCAAAATATAAAATTTATATCCCATGAAACTCTTCACTTCGAAATGACGAGTTTGCCCTGGACTGTAGAAAATGTCGTATCCCAAATTAATTTTTGAGGTGCCCAATTGGGCTAAATAATTTAAACGGGTGCCCTATTGGGAAAAAAACCACTAACTTACACCCGTCCAAGACCCAAACACAAAAAATAAAGAAAAATGTATAATGTTAAAATTCACCCCTAACGTTTGATAAAATAACCACTTTGATTCCTATTTTTTTCATGTAAAATCCATATTTAAGAAAACCTTGTTTGAAATGGATTCAAACAGATCAATGCGAAATCTTTGTGCAAATTGAATGCAAAGGTAGCATCAGTGGAAAATGGGATTAAGCGAAAAAGTTTCACTTCTTTATGCTCTATTTCATTTCTCTCAAGAAACAATGTTACTCGTTAAGACAAGTTAACAAAATTCATACATATTCTAGTTGCAGATGCTAAAAAACGCGCCCTATTGCGGTTTTCTCTCCCGGGATCTGAAGCAACTCTCGGATTCCTTCACAAACCTGCAGTGAGTGTATATGATCATTGCTAATGCCAACCAAAACAGAACGGTAACCCATTAATACAAATCTTTAAAACATACCAGCTTAATTTGTGCTTTAATTGATGCAATTAAGTGGGTATACTCCTCCAGTTGCCTGCATAGTGCAATTGAAAAAAAGATCACTTGAGAGAAAGACAAAAGAATCAGTTGAGAATAAGCTTTACAATTCGGTAAATCTCAGCTTAAAATGTGAAGGGTTTGAATCTTATGATCATATTCCATTGTAGAGGCTAAAGCCTATTTGTGTTCCTTCAACTTTAACCTCAACTATGGAACTATCTTGATGATTGAGGCCAAATTAACACCTAAAGTGATGAAGAAAAAGTTGAGTTTGGCAAAACCAGCTTCTCAATCCATCATACTAGAAATATAGGAGATGATGAATGAAGTCTTAAGATTCCTATTATAGTGGCATTGATAGATACCATCGGGATATTAAAAGGATGATCCTTGCGATGCGAATGAATAATTCGTGGCATTTCTGTAAATTATGACTAATTAGAAAGAAGTAGGCTATGAGAACTGAGAAGTAGTTCTGTGCTTAAGGCTATAAGCAAATAAGAGACATACAGAGCTTCCAAACAAAGCAGCTTGATCAATTTAAGAAAAATCATATATACCTCTCCAGCTTTTCCTCCCTCAATGAGATGAACTTCAATGCTTCTGACCAGGTGAACTCCACATGGAACCCAAGTCCGACATCCACAAATATATGTTGTGTATCAGGCCTGTAAACGTCAAAAGGAAGCCCCCAAAACACCACAAGCACACAAACATCAAAATAAATATAAATAGATAACACATAGAGTTGAGGGATTTCCCGGTTATTTGGTCAGAACCCCAACAACCAACTGGTAAGGTATTGTTTTCCCGAGGAGCCTATGTGTGGTTTTATCCCCGAGATTGTGTCTCTTGACTCTTAGGAGGGTGCTAAGAGCACCCTGTCGATATAGAACACGATCCTTGGACCGTTTGGAGAGTCGTGGAGATTGTTTGGAGAGACGCAGAACGCTCGCACCAACAGGAACTTATCTCGCACATTGTGCCATTGAAAATGCCCTTTAAGTGTAAGGACATGGCATCGAACCCCACCATGAGCGAGATAAGTTCCCCTTAGTGTGAGCGTTCCGTGGCTCTCCAATCGATCCAAGAATCGTGGTTTACATCAACAGGGAGCTCCTGGCACCCTCCTAAGGGCCGGGAGGCAAAATCCCGAGGCTAAAACCAGACATAGGCACCCCGGGAAAAGAATACCTTACTGGTTGTTGAACAACTCTATTCATGAATGTAGCAAGTAGAAGGCCTATTAACTTAAAACGAAAAATGAGAAGACTGCTAAAAACACTACACAAATGCATAAATTGCAGTAAATTGTTATGCTGAAAGGAATAATGGAGTGAGCGTGTATGCAAACTATACACGGCTATATGCTAAGACACCAAAAACAAAAGACATAGTCCACAGAAGACTTACACTTCTGCTTGCATGTACACTTCAGACCCAAGATTAACCACTGTCCGAAGATTAGTTACACTGTTTCTCTCTAAATTTTCTATGTTCTTCCGCAAATCCGAGCTACAGAACAAAGTGTCAAAGTAAACATATATAAAGCTCTATCTTTCAGCAAGAAAAAAAGAAACCCAATTAAGGGAAATGATTTAGCACAGAAAATTTTTAAGCAATTGTGTCCTTATTTGGGAGGGGGAAAACTCGTCTCTAAATAAAAGGATACAAAATTTTTTGCTGGTCAAAAACCTTATCCCTGCAAAAGTATGGGGGAAAATATAATCAGCAATGTTGATATTCCCTTTCCTTTTTTTCTGTTCATATATATATATATATATATAGAAAAATTTCATACCGTTCACCAATAGCACGAACAAGATCCGGTTTAAGGCGGCGATCAACAAATTCTTCAAACTTCCGTATTTTCTCTTGTCGTACGCTGTCCATTTCTTCTTCCCGATAACAGAATTTACCAATTTTCTACTTGGGCTTCAGCGAAATACTATTTCAGACGTTTCATCGAACGGGTAAAGGGCATAAGCTTTTTGGTATACTGTATATTAAACAGGAAAAAAAGTAAGTGCCTTTGAATGCAAAAGTACTCACCAGATCGAGGGAGGGTCGGTCGGTCGATTGAACTTCTCCGAATGTTCACAAAGTTAACAACAGAAGGGAAACTTCGCCTCGAGGCGAAGAAGGGAAAGCAATTAATTAATATTTTAAGCGATAATATCCCGCAACTGGTACTAGTTTTGACTTGAGCTGCTTTTGAAGCAAAACCCGCCCAAATGTCGTAAATAATACAAGGCTAAATTACAAATTTTAATTATTTTATCAATAATTTTGACCATATACCTGTTTGGGTCCCTCGTAGTCGTAATATTAAATTGCGAGCAGAATATAATGTAACGATTCTACTCTAATATGTTTTTGAGATCATCGTATTATGCAATAGTAACTGCAATTATAATATAAAATTTATAATTAATTTTAAAAAATAAATCACGCCATAACATTTATAAGGGTAATCTATGTCAAATACCACTCATCTTTAAGCTCGGGCTCGAAAATGCCATCGACGTTTCAATTTTGTCAATTTAGCACTGACGTTTATGTTTTACTGCAATTTTGTCACTCCGCCGTTAATCTGGGACGATGACATGACATTTTTTTTCGTGACGACGATGACATGGCACTCTCGTCAAAACGACGTCGTTTTGTTGATGAAAAATATGTTTTTCATGAGATTCAAACCGTAGACCTTTAGAATCCAAATCTAAATATCCAACCACCAAGCTAACTTAAGAACTTGGTATAACCTTAACAAAACTATTATAAATGTTCATCATTACCACCGTCACCCTCATTATCTCCTGCTGCAACCAAGAAGGAACTCTTCAAACATTTGATATTCAACATGTTAAAAGTAAAAACACAAATCCAATTCTTACCTTATGATCATGGCAGTATTTAGCTAAGTAATAAAGGCATTTCACAGCTGCCATGGCGTTAAGCCCTACCATCTTTTAATGATTTGACAAACTTCGGGATGATCCCCTCCTTTATAGCTCTCACAGTATATTGAGGGGTTTACACGAGAACCTGTATATCATCCAAGGCTTTGTTTTTCCTCATATGATCATCGGAGTTGATTCGAGAGACTGCTGCTTGAAATCTCCAATCCATATCATTTTTCTTCCATTCTTCTATTGAGGATCGAAGGTTAACATTTGGTGTTAGCTCCAAATTTTGAAGCTCTTCTTTGCAAGTAGGACAATCCTTCTTTCCACTCTAGAAGTATCTCTGTATCGCTTTCCGTTCGAAGCTGTGGCCATAAATGATTACAACCGGATCAACCATCATCTCATTGCACAATGGGCATATGAAGGAACCAATAGGGTATTGCTTATGATATGTCAGGGTCTCCTCGCTTTGTGGACTCGAAACGATTTTGATATTATACAACAACTATATCAATTGGGAAAGCTGAAGCGCCTCTGCTTGTTTCTTTTGAATTTCTATCTCTTCTTTTTTCTGCTTCAGAAGTGCCAATTCATTTTGTACTAAAGATGCATCAGCATTAGCACTAACAGCTTCGGCGATCTTCTCTAGAAGCTTTACAGCATTGTCTCGGTTTCTACTGCTTTGGGATACCGAATTCTCTATTTCTGCAGCAATCATTTCGGTCGCTACTGCCACTCGAAACTCCATCGTATTGAGCTTATCAATAACCTCATCATTAATGCTCTTCAAGTTCAATGCCATATCAAGATTAGCCAGCTGCAACGAGGAAATGGTTGAGGCAATATCTTTAGAGACCTTGTAATACGAGTAAAGCAAGAACCGAAGACGGCTACCGGACTTATAATCATCGATTATCTTGGAAGCTTTTCGTAACAAGCCACTCAACTTCTCCAGTGTCGCCTTGGTAAAGTTTGATCCCCTGGCAGCTTCTATTTTCCATACACTTAATGACACCAAAAACACGTCCAGCTCGGAAATACTCCTCGAAAACTCTCGAAAGCTGTCCTTCTCGATCATCACATCCCTCGTTTCCCTAGTGAGCTCCACCATCTGAAGCGTCACACGATTCCAAAGTTCTTAAGTTTTTAAGAGAAGATAATGAGGAAGATAATGAGGGTGACAGTGGTAGTGATGAACATTTTATAATAGTTTTGTTAAGGTTATAGCAAGTTCTTAAGTTAGCTTGGTGGTTGGGTATTTAGATTTGGATTCTAAAGGTTTGCGGTTCGAATCTCATGAAAAACATATTTTTTATCAACAAAACAACGTCGTTTTGAACTTTTTAAGCATCAAAACGACGTCGTTTTGACGAGGGGGCCATGTCATCGCCGTCACGGAAAAAAAATGCCATGTCATCGTCCCGTTAACGGATTAACGGCGGAGTGGCAAAATTGCAGTGAAACATAAACGTCAGCGCTAAAATTGGCAAAATTGAAACGTCGATGACATTTTCGAGCCCGAGCTTAAAGATGAGTGACATTTGACATAGATTACCCTATTTATAATTACTACTGCAGCTACAATTATAATCACGGCCGTAATTTAATATTATAAAGTAATTATATTTTAAAAAATTTAATTTAATTGTTCAACTTTAATATAATTCTATTTTTGGTTATTCCTTAGTTAATTATTTAATAATATTACGGTATATTATTTATCTTTTAAAAAATCAGGAAAGTGTCTTAATTTTTCTAAAAAATATTCTGAAAGTACCCTTGAAATCATTCTTCTCAATTCTTTAACTTAACTTTTTTTTTTCTGATGTTTAAGTTTTTTTTAATTTTAACAAAGATAAGTAATATATTTTGATTCCACAATTATCGAAAGTACGGATTATAGATTAGAGTCGTTTTCTCTAAATTTTGGGATATAAAATTTTAAATATATCCTAAAAAAATCTAAATTAATAGAATAACAAAGAATAATAAAATAAATTCATCGATATTTTAGAATAATAAAAAAAAAGAAATAACCTCAGTGACCAAAAATCCCATATAATATACGATTTTAACCAACTTTTTCCGGATTTGCCAAAATGACCAACAAAATCGCAATGCGATCGCTAATTCGCAACGCGATCTCCATTATCGCAAATCAGTTTCTAGATTCGCAACGCGATTATGACTATCGCAATGCGATTTTCCAATTTCGCGTTGCGATTTTCCCAATTCGCAATGCAAATAAGTAAATCGCAACGCGAATTGGGAAAATCGCAACGCGATACTGACTTTGGCAACGCGATACTGACTTTGGCAACGCGTTGCAATAGTCATTTTCGTATTGCGATTTTCATTTTCAGAAACTATTCTTCTTCTGCAAATTGAAACTTGAATGAATTGCATTACTTGAACCAAAAAACAAAGACAAATACGAAATTCACAGTGTTGCAAATTTAAGTTTGAAGAATAAACTACTACTCTTTATGTTTATTATTGTTTTTGGTATATCTAACTTAGTATGTTTATTGTTTTTGTAGAACTTTTATTCGGCTCAATTGACCTTAAGAAATAAAGTCAGCCTGGCCAAAACAATTGCGTCGAAGCTTTCACCTGCGCAAAAAAAAAATGTTTGAGGATACTTGCTTCGGGCCATGGCTGAAAGTACAACATCCCGGTGGAGATGTGATGTTGACACACCTGTTTCTTCAAACCATGACTAGCGATCTACCAGATACTATACAACGTCGTGATGAAGAGATATGGTTTGATTTTCCACCGGCGTATACATGTTTTGGGTGGGATGAGTTTTGCTTAATCACCGGTCTACGCTTCGGACACGATGATGTAGGTCGGTACACTAGACACATTACCCGCCCATCATGGTTATCCCGGGTTTTTCCTGAGCTGGAGAGGCCGAATCTACACATGGAAGACCTGACGAGATTATTGAATAAGAAAAATGGTTTTACTCGGATGGATGACGTCGATGTTGTCCGAGTATGCCTTCTAATACTTTTGCATGCCAGCTTTTTAGGCAGAGAGGCCAGACAACCTATTCCGAATGATCTAAGAAAATTGGTAGAAGACCTAAATGCGTGGAACCTGTTTCCGTGGGGCTCGTATTTATGGAAAGCTACATGGAATAAGTTATCGTCTGCCTTGGATGATAGAAAAAGTTTGTATGGCAATGGTTCCAAATACACTTTGACAAGCTTTATTTGGGCCTTTAAGGTAAGAATTTTTATATAATGTTTCCAAAATTATAAGTAATTATTTAACAATTACTAATGTTTGTTATTATATTGTTTGTAGATTTGGATATTTGAGGCCTTTCCCGCCATGAAGACATATGCAATAAAAACTTCAAATGATATTCCCAGGGCTATTTCCTGGAAGAGGAAACGGACCTTGCAATGGGAAGATTTACTACGGTATACGACAATAAATAATGTAAGTTAACATAAATACTACCATATGTTTATAAACAAGTTATTACTAGTACACGTTTAACTTTGTTTGAGCTTTTATATTGTTAGGAGGCCAACACTCCATTACAGAGGCTGACACCCACGGAAGCTGACCTTCCCATTGATTGGTGGCAAGCTAGTAAGCGTTTTTTTGATGGCACGGATGATGAGCAGCCTCCACTTCGGGAGCCATCACCTCACCCAGAGCTATCACCTCACCCAGAGCCATCACCTGATCGACCCGACTATACACCTCCACAATGACAGCCATCACCTATTCTGTCATATCATCGAGCCTCTTCTCCACCATCACCGCAAGATAGGCGACCGGCAAAGATGCCACAACGTTTATCTCCCTGTTCTCCACCTCCAGCTCCACGGGATGAGTTAGGGGAGTTACGTGATGAGGTCAATGCCTTGTGTGAGGAGGTCGGTACTTTACGCAAAGACGATGGTGTATGGCGTGTTTAGGTGTCTACTTTACGCGGTGAGGTAGCCACTCTACGTGAGATGGTAGCATCGTTGTAGAATGAGGTTCATACTCTACGCAACGAGGTAAGTTTAAGATTTTTCATATTTAACTTGATGATAAATTTACTCGTAATTTCACTTAGATTAACTATTTCACTTAGATTGCTTAATAAATTCATTCGGTTGCTGCCAATACTGCTAAACTGTTTTTGTTAGTATTTGTTTTTGGTTTTGTTTTTGTCTTTTGGTTGAAGTAATGCAATCCATTCAAGTTTCAATTTGCAGAAGAAGAATAGTTTACTTTCGCAACACGAAAATG